AACTCAGTAAAATTATCAATAAAACTGTGACATGACTGCGGTGGCTTGTATAGGACTATGAAGAGTATTGGAGGAGATTGTTTTTGTTGTATTTTAAAAGACACATATTCATATATATGTAGGTGTGGATGTTATTATATTATATATTGTTGTTTATATATGACTGTATATATATTATTTTACTATTATTATTATTATTATGATTTTTTCTATTCCTTGTCTCAGTTTGTTGGTTTTGTTTGATGTGTTAATATAAAATGAAAAAATAAAGAGTAAAAAATAAAAATAAAAAGACACATATTCAAATGACGAAAACTTCCCAAGAGACATTCTATAGGAGACAAAATGGTCGCTAAAAATGGCGACCATTTTGCAGCTAAGCTATGTATATATATTATACACTACCATTCAAAAGCCCTCCATTTGCAGCAATTACGACATTGCACCACGACATTTGCAGCTAGAATAGTCATTTACCACATGAGCAATGTAGTGTATTTCTTTAAAGTTAAGACTAGTTTGAAGTTATCAGTTCTTTTCCTTCAAAAATAAGGACATTTTATATATATATATATAATCTATATATATATATAATCTATCTATCTATATTATATATATATAATCTAATATATATAAATCTTATATGTATATTTTATATATATCTATATATGTATATTTTTATATATATCTATATATGTATATTTTATATATACATCTATATATGTATATTTTATTTGTATATATATATATGTATATATATATATATATATATATTTTCATATACCTACGATCAACACAAAAGGACTTAACTTGCCGACCGCCGACAAGCAATACAACCAGAGCCCGCACACACTACCTGAGTTTTGAGGTCCCCACCCCGACCATGCCCCCCCCCTTCCCGCCATTACCCCATAATGATTCTTTCCGGAGCCAGCACACACAAACTGAGTTTTGAGGTCCCCACCCTGACTCTGCCTACATTCTTTATTTTTACTGCTATACTTTCCATTCTACCACGTCTTACGTGAGCGACTATTTCTAAATTATCTTTGTTAAACAGTATGTATAAAAGTTTAGAGAGTTGGCTGTGGCCTGTGGGTGCGCTCGTTTTTCAAACGGGATGTCCCGGAGTTTTCTTTTATGTTGAATGCGAGACTTTAACTCAGAGGTGTAATCAATGTGGAAATCAAGCGCTCCTCTTCCCCTGGTTCAGTCCGCGCCAGAGAGCAGATAGGACGGACGCGGTCAAAGTTGGCTCTGGAGAAATGGTAAGTGAATATATTTACTTGATTTTTACATTGAGGGGGATGACAGACTGAATGTTACGTTAAAAAAGTACGCTTTATATTATTGTAATGGTGGAAATTCACCGCGGGTATTGCAACAAGCTAATTGAACTAGCATTATCTCAGTGGAACCCCGCGCTATGTGCTAATAGGGCTAGCGTCAGCTAGCATTAGCTGAGTGTCATTTATGGACCTTATTCAAGCTCTGTTTGAATGACTCAAACCCCCTCCAACCCACCTGCAGGTGGACAGTGGGTCATACAGGGGTCATACAGAAGTTTCCTGTGTAATTATGAGCAGATCAGCCCAAAATGACAAAAAAATGCAATCCAACCTACAGAACTACCGCATCTTTTTTGTTAGCCACTGTCTGTCATGTTGGCGCCACATGCTCTGTTATGTAACAGATTGATAAATACTTTATTGATCCCCATAGGAGAAATGCAGGTGGCCAGTAGAAGCAGAAACACATGCATCCATAAAAGTAAAACAAATAAATAGCCAATTGAAAAAGTAACAATATTATTTATTGATAACTAATGATTAATAGTGTTATAACTTAGACCTGTATGACTTAAACATATGCACTTTTGTTAGAAAAGTTTATTATTTTACGTATTTATGTGTTTATATGGGTTTTCTGCTGCTGGACCTGAATTTCTTATGGAGACCAATACAGTATCTATCTAGTAGGGCTGGGCAATATGGTAAAAAAGTAAAATCTCGATTTTATTCCCTGCTTTGGACAATTTTGATTTTTAATTGATTTTCATTAAAGTCAATAAACACAGACTTTGCCCGTAAACATATTTTTTGATCTTTCCGCTCAATATTCAAGTTTCCAAACTATTTTTAATTTGTTTCCCCCAATACGTATCACATTTTTCACACATCCGATTTTTTAAAAAGCCGATTAATTGCCTAAACTTAAACTATTGCCCAGCCCTACTATCTAGTATTAAAATACAACAGCAGCAGAGGTGCAGCCGCTTGGTTCAGACCATTTTCTCTGCTCTGGTGTAGTGTCTCCTTGTTCTTGAAGACAGGGTTTTCCCGCACGCTGGATAGTGATGGTGAAGGATTGAACTCTGAGTTATGATTAAAGGAGTTTAATGACATCAGAATACATTCAGTTCAATTCAGGCAACAGCGCAATTTGCCTGGGTCCCCTCTGATTCAGGCTCGACGCCAGAAGACCCAGAAAACTGAAGTGGGTTAAATACTAGCATTTACCCTTACCATATATGTCCATCTGACCTGTGATCCTAGACTCTTAAAATAAAAAGCAAGCCTGCTTTTCTGCCACCTGGTCAGCATTCTTGTTGGATGTGAATAGAACATCATACAGGTCATATACCACACTGGTCTAAAGTAAATTGCTAAATGCTTTGTTAGTATTTTCCAAATAGTTAGCATTTCTGCTTGGTTTGGTCCGTGAATCATCTCTGCTCCATTCTGGATCACTATTAAATTATGAACACTGTACTGCAGCAACATTTACAGGTAGAAAAAAAGCAAAACAAATAATAATAATTGTGAAACACAAAACAATAACTGTATCATAGCTACTTAGGACTTGCTACTGTTTCCAGCGCATTCAAAAGTAAGCATACTCATGGAATTGATATTATCTTGATGTTTCTCACTTGTAATTGCTCTTGCCTTAATATGAAATTGAAACATATTTTTTCTCCTTTTCAGCTTAACAAACGCATTCTAATGGATAACGAGTACTCAACGGATGATTCTCTAAGTAGTTATGAGTTTAGCGAGGATGAGTATGTTCCCAAATCTAATGAGGTTAGTGAGGAAAGTGAGACTTCATCAGAAGATGACCAGCAGCTCACAACTAAAACTAAGGTGAAGTCCAGAAAAATTGACTTAAATAAAAGAAGAGCTTTGGCCTATAGCTCTCTGGGAGCTGATGTCCCACAATCTTCAAGTGGTTCCGACAGAAAAGCACCTTCACCCAAATCCAGAAAAGTTGACTCAAATAAAGCAGCTTTGGCGTCCTCTAGCACCCTGGACACTGATGACCCACAATCGTCTTCAAGCGGTTCCAATGTGAAGGTCCTGACCTTACAAAAGAAGGTCGATGGTAGTAGAATGTATACAAAAATGTATTTCTGCCTTTTTTGTTTCAAGCCCTATCAAAAGATGGCGCGTCACTTGGAAGCAAAACATAGCCATGAACCTGAAGTGGCGAGGGCAATAGAAAATCCCCTGAGATCAAAGGAGCGAAGAGTGCAACTGGATTTGCTGAGGAATCGAGGTAACTGGGTCCATAACAACAATGTGCTGAAAGAGGGGAGAGGAACATTGGTACCCCGGCAACAGTCAAAGATACCGGTTAAGGAGATGGACTACATGCACTGTGTAAATTGCCACGGTTATTTTAAAAGAAAGACACTATGGAGGCACATGAAGACATGTGCCCTAAACTTGAAAGTGCAAAAGCTAAAGCCGGGAAAAACAAGGGTCCAGGCGCTTTGTGGATATGCACAACCAGTTCCCAATGGAGTGAAGGAGAAATTTTGGGAACTGGTTTTAGGAATGAACCAGGATGGCATAACAGCAGCTGTAAGAAAAGAAACCGCAATTTTAAAGTTTGGGGAACACCTGTACAATAAGCATGGCCACGATGTAACAAAGCATGACTACATACGGCAAAAGATGAGAGAGACCGGGCGATTACTTGTACAAGGCAGGAAAAATGACAAACTGCAAGAAATGTTAGATTTCTTTACTCCAGCTAATTTTCCAGATGTTGTTGAAGCTGTCAAGGATGTGGCAGGCTTCAATACAGAAACAAACAAATTCAAAACACCATCCTTGGCTCTTAAGTTAGGTCACAACCTAAAGAAAATAGCCAATATAATTGAGTGTGACGGACGGATTGCTGGACATGAAGATATGATTAAAAATGCGCAGGTTTTCAAACAAATTTGTGACACTAAATGGAGTGAGTGCATTTCCTCACAGGCTCTGAGAACATTAAATGAGGAAAAGTGGAATGTACCTCAGCTCCTTCCTTTCACAGAAGATGTCAAAAAAATGCACCACTACCTTGAGCTCCAAAAAAACGAGTGTCAAACAAATCTCAGACAATTTCCGAATAAAAAGCACTGGGGGGAACTTGCTAAAGTCACACTTTGTGAAATCATCGTGTTCAACAGAAGAAGAGCAGGAGAAGTTTCAAAAATGCCCCTTAGTGCTTTCATATTGAGCACTTCTCCAGCCAATCCTGACGTAGAGCTAGCCCTTTCTGAACTGGAGAAGCAGCTCTGCAAACACTTCAAACGGCTGGAAATCAAAGGGAAACGAGGACGGAAGGTACCCATTCTGCTTTCACCGGACATGCAGACCTCTATGGCATTGCTGGTCCAAACAAGGCGTGAATGTCAGGTGCCTGATGAAAACCCCTTTTTTTTTGGAAGACCTGAGGCTGCAAGTTATTTCAGGGGATCCGATGTGATCCGTCAAGTAGCACAGAGCTGTGGGGCAAAGAATCCTGAAGCGCTGTCGTCCACCAAACTGCGAAAGCACATGGCCACCATGTCCAGGGTCCTGAATCTCAAGGACAACGAAATGGATGACCTAGCCGACTTCCTTGGTCATGATATACGAGTACATAGGCAATACTATCGACTTCCTGAGGGGACATTGCAGCTGGCCAAAATCAGCAAGATGCTAATGGCCCTTGAACAGGGAAAAATGTCTGAATTCAAGGGGAAGAATTTGGACCAGATCGACATAGATCCTCATGGTGAGAAGAAATTTAGGTCTACTACATTTTAGAAGTGAGGCTTTCTGATTACACATTTTGTATGCACATTAGGGCTGCTTCTGTGAATTTAACTGTATAATATCCTATTAAATACACTAATATATGTACCTGCTTGTTGTGTTCGTCAGAGGAATTGCATGTGGACAATGAATCCGACAGTGAAGATGAGGACGACACGACCGGGAAGAATACAACACCTTCCACTTCACCTGCGCCTTCCTCCTCACAATCATCCGGTATGGAGGGCACTTTTCAGGGAGTAATTGTGGTCTTATCTATATCTGTCTGTCTTATCCTTCAACCGGATGTAAAAATAGTTTACAATTGATTCTTTCTTTACAGACTCGCACTTTAAGGTGAACAAGAAATCAAGTAATGCCATTGGACAAATTGGTGCTCGTCCAGCCCAAGGTAATTTATAGACTAATAGGATTACAGGATATACAGACTATTGGGAGGAGTTCAAATTGTGTAAAATAGGTCATAGTATGCAAATTGGATGGAAAGGTCTCCCTACATAGACTTTGGGCCATCTTTAATATTTCTCTAATTTACATAAAGCCTCTATCTCTTCATTTATACATGTTTGCAGGTGGATTGGAGGATGGTTTGGAAGAAAAGGAGCCGCTGCAGGAGGTCACAGCACGACCAAAAGCTAAAGGTAAACTGTGAAGTTCTTCAATAGAAAAACCTCTTGTTACTTGACCCTCATTAACTGTCTAACCTGCTCATATGTCTAACTTCTGCTCATATGTCTAACTTCTGCTCCTATGTCTAACTTACTCATATGTCTAACCTGCTCCTATGTCTAACCTGCTCATATGTCTAACCTGCTCCTATGTCTAACCTGCTCCTATGTCTAACCTGCTCATATGTCTAACCTGCTCCTATGTCTAACCTGCTCCTATGTCTAACCTGCTCATATGTCTAACCTCTGCTCCTATGTCTAACCTCTGCTCCTATGTCTAACCTCTGCTCATATGTCTAACCTGCTCTATGTCTAACCTGCTTCTATGTCTAACCTGCTTCTATGTCTAACCTGCTCCTATGTCTAACCTGCTCCTATGTCTAACCTGCTCATATGTCTAACCTCTGCTCATATGTCTAACCTCTGCTCCTATGTCTAACCTCTGCTCCTATGTCTAACCTCTGCTCCTATGTCTAACCTCTGCTCCTATGTCTAACCTCTGCTCATATGTCTAACCTCTGCTCTATGTCTAACCTCTGCTCCTATGTCTAACCTCTGCTCCTATGTCTAACCTCTGCTCCTATGTCTAACCTCTGCTCCTATGTCTAACCTCTGCTCCTATGTCTAACCTCTGCTCCTATGTCTAACCTCTGCTCCTATGTCTAACCTCTGCTCATATGTCTAACCTCTGCTCATATGTCTAACCTGCTCCTATGTCTAACCTCTCTATTAACCTCTGCTCCATGTCTAACCTCTGCTCTATGTCTAACCTCTGCTCCTATGTCTAACCTCTGCTCCTATGTCTAACCTCTGCTCTATGTCTAACCTCTGCTCCTATGTCTAACCTCTGCTCCTATGTCTAACCTCTGCTCCTATGTCTAACCTCTGCTCCTATGTCTAACCTCTGCTCTATGTCTAACCTCTGCTCCTATGTCTAACCTGCTCCTATGTCTAACCTGCTCATATGTCTAACCTCTGCTCATATGTCTAACCTGCTCTATGTCTAACTTGCTCTATGTCTAACCTCTGCTCATATGTCTAACCTCTGCTCTTGTCTAACTCTGCTCATGTCTAACTCTGCTCTATGTCTAACCTCTGCTCTATGTCTAACCTGCTCTATGTCTAACCTCTGCTCTAATGTCTAACCTCTGCTCCTATGTCTAACCTCTGCTCCTATGTCTAACCTGCTCTATGTCTAACCTGCTCTATGTCTAACCTGCTCCTATGTCTAACCTCTGCTCCTATGTCTAACCTGCTCCTATGTCTAACCTGCTCCTATGTCTAACCTGCTCATATGTCTAACCTGCTCCTATGTCTAACCTCTGCTCCTATGTCTAACCTGCTCATATGTCTAACCTCTGCTCATATGTCTAACCTCTCCTATGTCTAACCTCTGCTCTATGTCTACTTCCTATGTCTAACCTCTGCTCTATGTCTAACCTCTGCTCCTATGTCTAACCTCTGCTCCTATGTCTAACCTCTGCTTATGTCTAACCTCTGCTCCTATGTCTAACCTTGCTCCTATGTCTAACCTTGCTCCTATGTCTAACCTGCTCCTATGTCTAACCTCTGCTCTATGTCTAACCTCTGCTCTATGTCTAACCTGCTCCTATGTCTAACCTCTGCTCTATGTCTAACCTCTGCTCCTATGTCTAACCTCTGCTCCTATGTCTAACCTCTGCTCCTATGTCTAACCTCTGCTCCTCCTATGTCTAACCTCTGCTCCTATGTCTAACCTCTGCTCTATGTCTAACCTCTGCTCATATGTCTAACCTGCTCCTATGTCTAACCTCTGCTCCTATGTCTAACCTGCTCATATGTCTAACCTGCTCCTATGTCTAACCTGCTCATATGTCTAACCTCTGCTCATATGTCTAACTTCTGCTCATATGTCTAACCTGCTCATATGTCTAACCTCTGCTCATATGTCTAACCTGCTTCTATGTCTAACCTGCTCATATGTCTAACCTCTGCTCATATGTCTAACCTGCTCATATGTCTAACCTGCTCCTATGTCTAACCTGCTCATATGTCTAACCTGCTCCTATGTCTAACCTCTGCTCATATGTCTAACCTGCTCCTATGTCTAACCTGCTCATATGTCTAACCTCTGCTCCTATGTCTAACCTGCTCATATGTCTAACCTGCTCATATGTCTAACCTCTGCTCATATGTCTAACCTGCTCATATGTCTAACCTGCTCCGATGTCTAACTTCTGCTCCTATGTCTAACCTGCTCCTATGTCTAACTTCTGCTCCTATGTCTAACCTGCTCCTATGTCTAACCTGCTCTATGTCTAACCTGCTCTAACCTCTGCTCCTATGTCTAACCTGCTCCTATGTCTAACCTCTGCTCCTATGTCTAACCTGCTCTTATGTCTAACCTCTGCTCCTATGTCTAACCTCTGCTCCTATGTCTAACCTTGCTCCTATGTCTAACCTCTGCTCATATGTCTAACCTGCTCCTATGTCTAACCTGCTCCTATGTCTAACCTCTGCTCATATGTCTAACCTGCTCATATGTCTAACCTGCTTCTATGTCTAACCTGCTCCTATGTCTAACCTCTACTCATATGTCTAACCTGCTCCTATGTCTAACCTCTGCTCATATGTCTAACCTGCTCCTATGTCTAACCTCTGCTCCTATGTCTAACCTTTGCTCCTATGTCTAACCTCTGCTCCTATGTCTAACCTCTGCTCCTATGTCTAACCTCTGCTTCTATGTCTAACCTGCTCCTCATGTCTAACCTCTGCTTCTATGTCTAACTTCTGCTCATGTCTAACCTCTGCTCCTATGTCTAACCTCTGCTCCTATGTCTAACCTCTGCTCCTATGTCTAACCTCTTCTCCTATGTCTAACCTTTGCTCCTATGTCTAACCTTTGCTGCCCCCTACAGGATCAGTTCCAAAAGTCTGAAATTCGTCATTGGCAGTGAATGAGTAAAGGGTCTTAGCTGACTTATATTTTCCTTTTTAATTCCACATTTTCAACAGTCATAAAATAAAACCTTTTCCATTGCTCGCCTTGACAAAAGTGAAATGTTTTATAGACTCATTGTGAACTCCAGACCAGGCTTATAGAAGGCCTAAATAAGATAAGACTTGTAAATTTCTCCTGTGTGAGATTAATAAATTATATCTTATCTTAAATCAACATTAGTTACTGAGCTTGGTTTATGAAGCAACAAATTGTCTGACCTTCTATTTGAACCGGGCTTATTCTCATTGGCATTGTTCATATGTATTTTTTTCTTTTCACAGATGATTAAATGTTTCTCTTATATGTTTTAGGAAAGGTTGTTGTCAAAAAGAGGAGGAAGTGGACTGAGGAAGAAATCCAGGCTGTGGAGAAAACCCTCATGGACTGCATCAGGACCCTAAAGGTTCCCGGGAAAGCCCAGTGTCTGGAGTGTATTAACGCTTCACAGACCGCTCTTAAAGGGAGAACATGGGAGGGAGTGAAGTTCTATGTAAAAAACCGTATCAATGCTCTAAAGAGAGAGTCTTCAAAATGAAAAATTTAAATTGTTTAAATACAGTCATTTTATTTTGTTAAGACATCTGTTCTTTCAGTATCTTTTATTGTTTGAATCATTTTATTTTGTTATTTGAAAAATGCATTCACTTTTGTGTCTGCAGTATTCGTCATGTTAAAAAATAAATGTTTTATTATAAACTTTCATAATCTGGGCTAATAAATTGCACAATTAACCAGTGATTTACTTACAACACAAGTCTACAATATTCTCCTAATCTTTCATGTCAAAGGAATACACCAAAGTAACAAGTAAAATGCATGAAGTTCCTAGGAGGCAAGTTTGAGACAATATAAAAATAATAATAAAAAAAAAATTGTATAGTGACACCTGATGGTGGTTTTTGGTACTACATAATTGTTAGTCCCCATGGGGATAGAAAGTCCAGACAAAAGAAAAAAATGAAGATTTTGGGACTTGAGGTGATATCAGAGGGGCCACGCCCCCCCCTGCAATTCTGTCTTAAAGCCAATTTTTTATGAGTTAAAATGAGCAATTAATTATTGTTTAAAGTGAGGTCCTCACCATGCATGTTCTAAACAACTTAAAAAACTGGTCCCCACCGTGTGTGTGTGTGTGTGGGTGTGGGTGTGTGTGGGCGTGGGTGTGGGCGTGGGTGGGTGTGTTGGTGGTTGTACGTGTGTGTGTGTGGGTGGGTGTGTGAGTTTACACTGCAAAAAATTATAAAATGGTAGTAATTGCTTAAATCAAGTGTTTTTTTGTCATAATTTGAGCAGATTCTGACTGTGTTAAACCAGATTCTCCAACGGGACAAACACATTTAGTCTGATTTACAAAATGCAGCTGTATTTTCTCTTTTTAAAGGGGACATTTCTGTATCTTTTAATAAAGATCTTTTTGCTTTGTCCCATTGGAGAATCTAGTTTTAAAGGAGCAATATGTAATATTTGCATGTCAAGTCATCATTAAATGACCCGAATATTTCAAAAGGCGTTATTAAATCATACTCTTTCCGAATTCATCTTTAACTGATAACAGTAGTTCATCCGAGATATTTGATTATCAAAATTAGTTTTACGACCCGTAAAAGTTGTTATTGTTTTGATTTTGATGTCCTACCCTCCGCCGTTTCGCCAATCAGGAAGTGTCATGTAAGTCCGTCATGTAAGAAGAAATACGTTCCAACCAATGGTGTAGGTTTGGTTCCAATCTTGGTGGGGACATTCACTACGACCTGAGTCTACACCCATTGACACGGGGTCCAGAGTTTCTCCCCCAGAATTTGTTGTGTAATCACACACTATATTTGCAATAGTGTGTTGCCTTCTATACTAAACTCAGCTGTAGACTGAATGAGAAGCAGTTAAGGATTTTTTCTAATAGTTAAAACAAAATCAATTGGATCAGAGCTTCTGAGTTTTGTGTTGCGTTCATTCTATACTGACTTAAACCTAATCCAAATCTACATAATAGCCCTCACCTGAGGCTCTAACAGTTCAGGAACTGCTCTCGATACTTGAAATAAATCATGCTCTGATCTTTCAATTTCCTATAATAAATAAAAACAGAGGGAGAAAATATTGAATTAGAATCTACAGTGAGTATCTCACTACATTGTTTGACATATACGATCAATCTCTAAAAACAATTCATAGTCCCATGCATACCTACAAAATTCCAACCTCCCCTGATGCACTGAAGGGCCTGTTGCTTCTACCTCAACATTCCCTATATTGTTCTCTCTTGTTGGTTGAGTTTCCTATGTATGTTAACAGAAGATTAATCATCACAATTCATAATTTGCTATTACTTTTTCTTTCTCTTACTTTCTTTCCAACTGTTAAAAAAGCTCCTGATATCTTTTATCTTTTTTTGTGGAGGTGGCATTTTTTCTAAATTATATAAGAAGGTATAGAAAATCAAAAACAGACATTCATATACATGAACTGCAGAATAATTTATATAACTTGGCCAATGTCAAAAGTTACATAGTATTTCTCAATACAATGAGTTAACAAGAGTTTGGCAATAAGTAACAGTGTGGATTTTTCTATATTTTTCTTTTTTTTTATTCCACTCTCAACCCAAAAAGGCAAGTAATGACTCACAGGGCTCTCAAGTATGCAAAATAAAAACTTAAATGACCTGTTGTGGTGTGTTTTGCGCACAACCAGCATGCATCGTTAACGCAATGGAAAATTTACGTATCCGAGCTTTAATTTCGGGAGCGCTGGTTGCGCTTTGGGAAGAGTCAGGGGAGAGACATGTCAGAGACACAGGGGAGAAACGGGGGAGATACGAGGGAGACCCGCACTTGCAACATGGTTCTGTCTGCATATGGTCCGAGCTCGGTACCATGTTAGAGCTGTGCTTTCACTGAGCGCCGCGGCTGTCATTACAAAGCGGCCGCAGCTGCACCAGGACGTGCACATTCGAGTGCATCGCTTGAATGTGCTTAGAGCAAATCACAGCAAGTGCCCGCTGTCACACATTTCACAGAAATCACATTATCAGCAGATAAGGGTTGTAAATCGTGGATCCGTGGAATATTTTTATCCCTAGTTTATCCTGATTCACACAACACACCCACTCATACATTTTGGATAGTAAGAGCACAATAAGTATTTTTTCAGCCTTTCACCTGTTTCTTTATTGGAGCCAGTTCTGTTCTGTGTCTGTGCCGTGTGAGCTCCTCGGGACATTAAACAGTGCGCTGACAGATTAGAAATAACGTAAGTACTTTGAATGGTAATAGATCTACAGTACTTTCCTCTGATTACTCACGTGCTACAACGCTCAGGGAACGAAATAAAACACTTGCTTCACGCTGGCTAACTTTTAAAAATTAAACAGTTGCTCAGTGCTTCAGTTTGGCGCTGAAGAAGACAGCCAATCACTGCAGAGAACGGAACGGGTCACGTGCTGCTGCTGCTGCTGTTGCTCTGGAGGCGAGGAGGAGGCGCGACGTGTGCGCAAACGGAAGACATGTGTCCCGGACCGTCCGGGTCACGGGACATCATGTCATTTTGGTGGGGACTTTTTAGTCCTCACCAAATATTGGTGGGGACATGTCCCCATGGTCCCCACGCAAACCTACGCCCTTGGTTCCAACATCCATTCTTCCCACTCCTATTTTGGACATCAATTGCTTATTTATTTAGCATAAACTATGTATAATTACATTACTTTTATTTTGTTTTTGTTTTTTATCTCAAATGTCCAAATAATAATAATAAAAAAACATGAATCAAAACATTCATTCAGCATTAGCACGGCTGTCATGGCAATGTGAATGGAGACGGACAAACAACTGATGAAATAATTCCCTGTGTTTGCTGCTGGATCTGGTGTGAATCTGGCAACCTGAGTCAGGGAGAGTGGGAGAGGACTACAAAATATTGACTGTGACTGCAGTACCACTTTCGGCCAGATTTTTACATATTGTTCCTTTAAGGCTCAGTCAGAATGTGCTCAAATTAAGATACATTTTTCCAGATTTGAGCCATTTTTAGCTTCTTTTTCATCACTTTTTGCAGTGTAAATGTTTAATGTCCTGGAATGCTGGATCTTAAACATTAAAAATCCAATCTAGTTACACCTAAATGATTTTATCTCTTGTCTTGAATGTCTCATATGACTGTGTTCAGGACGAAGACAGAAGCCTCTTAAGCGTGACTCCAGACGGCAACAACTTACAGGTGGGATTTTGGAGATATTCAACTAAAACATAGGTGTCAAAGTCAAGGCCCGGGGGCCAGATACGGCCTGCAAGACCGTTTGCCGTGGTCCTTGAGATGATTTTAAATTATTATAGCAGCATTAATGGTGATAGGCGACAACGGCATGTTATCCAATACTGAGAAAACAACCTTAACATGTAATTCCATAAGAAATGTGAAGCCAACATGTAGAAGGTAGTATGTTTTTTACGAGTCTTCAATTACATTTCAAAACTCTCTGGTCTCATTGGACGAGCACGTATCACCAGAATGATTGACAAGTGGGAGGACCAATAGTGATGTTGAAACACCCAAAAGTAGAAAATCTTCCAATATACCTTCAATATTTGGTCCAGTTTTGGTTCAGTTTTGGTCCAGTTTTGGTTCAGTCCACAGAAACTGAACTAATTCTAATCAGAAAAAAATGTCCAATCCAACTAATGTGAAACAAGTCATTTCTTTAGATACTTTCATATTCCAAACAAAGTTAATAAATGAAACCCACTTTTCGGCCCCTGACCAGCCCTTTCCTTTTTTTGATTCGGACCTCAACCAAAATAAGTTTGACACCCCTGAGCTAAAACATTAGACATTTATACGAAAGCAAAAAACCTCAATCTTTCCCTCACACCCTCCGTTACGGGCCGCTGTGATGAAAACATTATTATTTAAATCAATGAAACAACGGCAAAAGGTGAACCAGGTTTTAGACCCAAGGATTCAAGACAAAGACATTTTGCTAAAGTTAGAGATTTTATGAAGAAAACATAATATTTCTGCTTCATTTCACGCCCCCCACTTTGAGAGTCACTGGCAGAAGGCATTGCACTTGTGTGTGGAAGTTGCATGTTCTCCCTGTGTCTGAGCCATTTTTCCTCCAGGTGCTCCGGTTTCCTAACCCAGATTATTTTAAAGTTGTTAAGTCGAACAATAAGATACTGCAGTGATCATTGGTAAATATCACATCACTGAGTTTTTGCCCCGAGAATTCCATTAGTCAAAAATCCTTCAGTTCTGAACATAACAAGGCAGCGATTAGAAAAGAAAACAAACAACAAAAATCATAAAAACAATAATAATAATAAACTGAAGAAATGACTTTATTTTCTATGTTAAATATTTCTCATTTCATATTTAACTTTTTCAGATCGATCCAATAAAAGGCACTCATCCACTGCTCGTGTTTGTGAATCCAAAGAGTGGCGGGAAACAGGGGGCGAAGTGCGTTCAAACCTTATTATTATTCAATGTTCAAAGAATCTCCATTTTTGATACAACCTTTTAACGTTTTGTCTTTTTAACAACAGTGTGCTGTCGGAGTTTCAGTATCTGCTCAACCCTCGGCAAGTTCACAATCTGTCCAACGGAGGACCTGCCCCTGGGTAAAGAACTAACCTGTGTAGATAATGTCCAGATGATTAAATAATAGTTTATATATTATGGGTTCTATACGGGCTGTTACAGTACATTATTAGGAGGTCGGAGCCAGACCAGGCCCCGGTGGTCAAAGATGGCGGCGTATTCAAATCAATGGCTTGTGCTCGGTAGTGCATGTGCCAGCTTGGGGACCGAAAGACGAGCAGAACTCACCCATATTTGGGCATGTCTCTGGTCCTCCCTGTTCAGCGCAGTGGACGAGCTCCCATGATGCTTTGCGGCAAATACTAACAAGCACGCGTGTGGCTCTCATGCACGTGCACAGAATAGCGTGGCCACGTTCTGACCAATCAGAGCTGCTGAGCGGAGCCAAAGGAAACCAGCAGAGTTTGTTCCATCATAATGTGGATTTAAAGAAAAACTATGGATTTAACAACAAAAAAAGAGTTGCGTAAACTAGCATCATAGTGTGGATATCATACTTCTATTGCCCAGGTTCATAAGCTTCAATTTAAGGGCTATAGTTAAGCCATATTTGGAGAATGTGTCCAGGCAGAATGGTCTTAAGTTCGGTTATAAATCTCTCTCCACTGTGTGTGAAATGTTGACGGTGGAAAAGTGTGTTTAGGTTTATTGTATTATTGTCCTTGTTATATTTATTTCTTACTGTCTTTCTTTAGTTTAAATTTTTTCCACAACCTGCAAGACTACCGAGTCCTTGCCTGTGGCGGCGATGGGACCGTGGGGTGGCTCCTGGACGCCATAGGTGATGCTCCTTCAGCTGCTCTGTGACGCACGCCGTTCTCTTTAAGTGTTTTTTACTTTGACGTTTTCTCTCCTCCAGACAAAGCGGATCTCCCGGTTCATCCGCCTGTCGCCGTTTTGCCGTTGGGCACCGGGAACGACCTGGCGCGGTGTCTGCGCTGGGGAGGAGGTAAGTGACCGCTGTGCGAGGGTCACTGCAAAAAATGATACAATATGAGGTAATAAATGCTTGAATTGAGTGGTTTTTATCTTAATCTGACACATTCTGACTGTTTTTAAACCAGATTCTCCATTTGGACAATTAATTCAGTCTTTTTTTGAAAAGTGTTGCTTTATTTTCTCATTCCAAGGGAGACATTTCTGTATCTTTTTAAAACAAGATCATTTTGCTTTGTCCCGTTGGAAAATCATGTTTTATGTTTCAGTCAGAATGTGTAAAATTGCCAAATGTGCCAATTATGAGACATTTATGGAGCAGTCAAATCATAAAAGATGATTTCAGAAAAAAAAAGCAATGACATAGAAATAAACTACACATCGAAACAGAAAAAGTCACAAAGTCATGAAGTTATGAAGACCAAGGACACTGCAGAAAGTGAGGAAAAAGCTCAAATTTGGCAAAATGTGTCTTAAATTGAGCACATTCTGACTGAGCCTTAAAACACAAGATTTGCCAACGGGACAAAGCAAAAGGATCTTGTTTTAAAAAGATACAGAAATGTCTCCTTTAGTTTGGAATGATAAAATAAAGCAGCAGTTCTCGAAATAAGTCTAAACGTCTTTGTCCCATTGGAGAATCTGGTTTTATCACAGTCAGAATGTGTCAGATTAAGATAAAAAACCCTTAATTTAAGCATTTATTACCTCATATTTTATCCCTTTTTGCAGCGTGAATGTACGTGAGCTGAATAATTACATATCCAACATTTAAAACCGTCAAAATGACTGCTGTTCTCTGTGACGTTGAGGCTACGAGGGCGGAGACCTGAGGGACTTCCTGAAGGAGATCGAATGCGGTGAGGTGATGGGGATGGACCGCTGGAGCATCCGGGTGGTGCCCGACGATCCCGAGGAGGTGGGAGAACCCGTGCCCTACCAGATCATCAACAACTACTTCAGCATCGGAGTGGTGAGCTGCTCTGAAACTACTGTTATTACCTTCAGTATCAGAAACACCCGCTCCAGAGACCACATCACCCCCGTCCTCAAACAACTCCAATGTCCCATACAGCCTACAATACAAGCTCCTCCTCATGACCTACGAGTCCCTCCATAACCTGCTCCTTCTCACCTCCATGACCTCCTCCATGACCTCCTCCATGACCTCCTCCATGACCTCCTCCATGACCTCCTCCATGACCTCCTCCATGACCTCCACCATGACCTCCTCCATGACCTCCTCCATGACCTCCACCATCGTCGCTGTTCCTCCCGCACCCTCAGATCCACAGACTCGACCTTCCTCACTCCCCTTAGGACTAAATCTGAGCCTTCGCCGCAGCTGCCCCCACTCTCTGGAACTCACTCCCACAACCGTCAGAAACTCCCAATTTATTTATTTTCATATCGTCTCTATGAAGCTAGTTTCAAGCCCGAGCAACTGACCAATCAGGTGCCTTCTATTTCTATATTTGGGTTTATATTTCACTATTGTGGCCATACCTGCAAGTGAAAGCTAGCTCACGTCAGACCTCTGAAGGCAGGGCCTGGGTAGTACTATGATGGGAGACTTCTGGGAACACCAGGTGCTACTGTAAAGCGCTTAAGCCATATTAGAATGAATGACTCGCTTCTGGCAGTGTGCCCCAGGGCAGCTGTGGCTACACTAGTAGTTTATCACCACCGTGTATGAAGTGAGTCCAAATAAGCACTGTACAAACCCGAAGCATCGTTATTATTAGATTTTAAACTGAAAGAGACGAGCACAACTCCTGATTGGCTCTTTGGTTGCCTGGGCGTTGCTACCTACGTCATTTGGCTCCAGATTCTCGCTTAAGCTCACTCTGATCAGCTTCTTCCACAATATTGGTGCCGCATTAGTCTCTGGTCCCTCGGACACTGAAGCTGCTGTGATGGTGGTCAGTGGCTCGGTGCCACATCATGCAGCCTTGAATCATGTCACTCTGCCCCAGGGCAGCTGTTGTTTACAATGGTGGCACACCATCTCGGTGTGTGACTGAATAATAAGGGCTTATATTCTGTAGCGCTTTGAGAGACTTCCACAAGATCCTGAAGCGTGTTACAAGTGTTAAGCTTCAAAGAGACAGAAATAGACTCGACTCTTGTTTCCGTCGATGCGTCCAAACCAGAGGTACTTCCCAAACCCCACAGACCGGGACCACAGACTGGGACCACAGACCAGGACCACAGACCAGGACCACAGACCGGGACTCCCGCTGCGATCATACTGTTACTTTACCAATTTTAACTATAATATTGTTGTCATTACAAAATCATCCAAGCTGTAGTTTCAGAAGATAAAAGCAGCTCCAGTGACAACACGCGCCAAAGCACAACACTATAATTAGCATCTTCCTCGTGGGATGATGTCGCTGATTGATCAAATTAAAACATAATCCATTTCCTTGTTTGCAGGACGCCTCGATCGCTCACCGCTTCCACACGATGAGAGAAAAGTATCCACAAAGATTTAACAGCAGGTCTGTGCTACAGTACAACATCATTTAAATACAGACGGTGGGACTTTTACAGAGAAAAACAAAGCAGATCCTTCATTAATTAAGATTAAGAGATGTTTAATTCGTCCCACAGTGGGGAAATGTCAGTGTTGCATCACCAGTTACAGAAGAGTAGGAATGAAAATGAAATAAAATCTCTAACTTAAAGCTGGGATACCAAACCACAGAAAATGTAATGTTATAATAAAATCCATGTAACAAGTTCCTCGCTCTCAATAGAGTTTGCACAGGGACATATGAGATTTTTCAGACAGAAAAGTGACAAAGAGAGGACCGCCCTCTCTCAGCCAATCAGCTCTCAGCTCAAATATGACTCACTGGCTCTTTCTGACTAGTGTGAGATGAAACAGCAGATTGTGGTCTTACCTTAAACTCCTACATGTCTGGGATAAAGCTATTTGTGATGGAGGAAAGTGAGGTACCCCAGCTTTAACTGAATAAATGAACGTTTTTGTTAAATGCATAATTCAGTTTGTTCTCTTCTCGTGTAGAATGAAGAACAAACTTTGGTATTTTGAGTTTGCCACAACTGAGACCATCTCTTCATCCTGCAAGAAACTGAAGGAGTGTCTCATCATAGAGGTGCCTCATTTATCTAAAGAAGGACTGTGTATACTGTAGATGGACGTCGCTAACACGCTAGCTCAGTGATGCCCAATAGGGAAGTGCTCATGGTGAAGTTTTGCTCGAACTCACTCTGGTTCCTTTTGATTAACATTAAAAACTAAACTCCTCGAGCTCAGGAACTGTCTGTGTCACACTAGCTGCAAAAATCTGAAATGCTTCCTCCCCATGTTTCATCCTGACTCTGCTACCAGCAGGAGCCAGTCCCTGTGCTCCTCAGAGTCCCAGCAGGAGACCAGTCCCTGTGCTCCTCAGAGTCCCAGCAGGAGACCAGTCCCTGTGCTCCTCAGAGTCCCAGCAGGAGCCAGTCCCTGTGCTCCTCAGAGTCCCAGCAGGAGACCAGTCCCTGTGCTCCTCAGAGTCCCAGCAGGAGCCAGTCCCTGTGCTCCTCAGAGTCCCAGCAGGAGACCAGTCCCTGTGCTCCTCAGAGTCCCAGCAGGAGCCAGTCCCTGTGCTCCTCAGAGTCCCAGCAGGAGACCAGTCCCTGTGCTCCTCAGAGTCCCAGCAGGAGGCCAGTCCCTGTGCTCCTCAGAGTCCCAGCAGGGGCCAGTCCCTGTGCTCCTCAGAGTCCCAGTAGGAGGCCAGTCCCTGTGCTCCTCAGAGTCCCAGTAGGAGGCCAGTCCCTGTGCTCCTCAGAGTCCCAGTAGGAGGCCAGTCCCTATGCTCCTCAGAGTCCCAGTAGGAGGCCAGTCCCTGTGCTCCTCAGAGTCCCAGCAGGGGCCAGTCCCTGTGCTCCTCAGAGTCCCAGCAGGGGCCAGTCCCTGTGCTCCTCAGAGTCCCAGTAGGGGCCAGTCCCTGTGCTCCTCAGAGTCCCAGTAGGAGGCCAGTCCCTGGGATTTACTTGCCACAGATTATTTAAAGTAGAGGAAAATCATTCTAAATTAGGGTTAAAAGGGTAATTTAGTTCAATAAAAAAGGATTTATCTTTATTATTTTGGTTATTTTTGAATTCCTGTGGCGGGTTAACTTTACCCAAGAACTCCCAACATCACAAGGGTCCAAATCTGCTCCAAATTAAGATAGATTGTGCCATTTTAGCGTATTTTCATCTGTTTCTGCAGTGTAACAGCAGCCAATAGAAAACAAGAGTCACAGATGTTTAACTTTAAAGCAAAGTCTAGTGTTTAAAATGATTACAAGTCAGGAGAAATCTAGTGAATTGCCTTCTTTCTTAATGAAGTTTGAAATTTCTCTAGATTATGACCCAGCTCAAAAGAACATCTGTTGTGGAGCTTTGGGTGAAAGGATCAGGGTTATATTTAGCGCAGTATAAATGATGTGTCCGTGTCGCAGTAATCCGTCTGTTCTGCAGTGCTGCGGCCGACAGCTTGATCTGAGCACTTTGAATCTCGAAGGCATCGCTGTCCTGAACATTCCCAGCATGCACGGCGGCTCCAACCTCTGGGGCGACTCCAAAAAGCCAGAGGGGCCGAACCAGGGGCCAAACCAGGGCCCCCCCGAGGTCATCATGGACCCAGAAGTCCTCAAAACGGTCTCTCAAGGTCAGAGGAGCTGCTGCGACACTGATACTACAGAAGCAACAGTTAAAGTACAATTATTACACATTTTCTTCTTTAAGATTAAGAGATCCTTTATACAGCGGGGAAATTTCAGTGTTGCAGCACAGTAGGAAGCACACAGCACAAGATATACAGTACAAACAATAACTTGATGCTAAAATCAAATCTCTAACTTTCCTGCTCAAGTTTCTGCTCTGGCTCCTGCTCTGGCTCCTGCTCTGGCTTCTGCTCTGGCTCCTGCTCTGGCTCCTGCTCTGGCTCCTGCTCTGGCTCCTGCTCTGGCTCCTGCTCTGGCTCCTGCTCTGGCTCCTGCTCTGGCTTCTGCTCTGGCTCCTGCTCTGGCTCCTGCTCTGGCTCCTGCTCTGGCTCCTTCTCTTGCTCCTGCTCTGGCTCCTGCTCTGGCTCCTGCTCTGGCTCCTGCTCCGCCTATGCCCCATTCACACCATGCTTCTAGCCACCACCAGTGCTTGACCCCGGGGGGTCTGAGATTATCTACAGCAACAGAAAATCTCTCCTCTTCAAGTGTCACTGCTGAGGTCAATGCGCCAAACAAATAAATATTTTTCATGCATTATAGTTTCTGTCCTGGTCTCTTCAGATTGAAATGTTAGCATCTGTACATTAGCAGCATGAGTCTCTGGGCCACAAGTGACAGTGACACATGTGGTTTCATATTGCACATTCTGATATTAGTTAAGGATATTGCACCGACGCATGACATTTTTTACAACTCCTTTGCATCTGGAGCCAAAGCAAATTCCTAATTTTTGACTTCCTGTTACTGACAACGCAACACAAATATTTCTGATTGTGATTTTGTTCTGCAGACATGAATGACCAGCGTCTGGAGGTGGTGGGTCTGAGGGGGGCCATGGAGATGGGACAGATCTACACAGGCCTGAAGTCTGCGGGGCACAGACTGGCACAGACCTCGCAGATCACCATCAGGTGCAGCTCACCCACACACACACACACACGCACACACACACATACACGTTTTTGTTACCTGGTGGGTCCCTTTGACAGGGCCGTTCAGAATGGGACCCATAGACATAATCTTTTTTTACCAAGACTTTAAGTAATACAAAACAGTCAATAGAAACCAAACAACTATTTTAAAGGAATTTTATTTTAGATTTTGTTTTCGAATTGCAGTGATTCTATTTTTGACATAGAATTTAATGCCACTCCATGTCCGATGTCTAAGGTCATCTGGTGAGGCATTAATGCAGGCCAGGCAGTGAGACTTCCCAGGGACCTTTCCAGTCTGTATGAATGGTGTCATGGTCTTCTCCACAGCCTTCACCTCAGATGCAGACCATGGCTTTCTTACACGTTCTAGGGAGAGAAATAAAAATATATTAGCAATATACACTCCCAGGGTGAGGACCAAGCAGCCTGGCTGTAATCCCCCACCTGGTACACTTACCAGAAGGGGCACTGCCACTACCATGGGGTGCATCTGGATGAATGGTTGAAGGTTCTCCGCTTGAAGTTTCTTTTAGCCCGTCCGTTTGTGAGAGGATCTCTACTGCTCTCCCTGTCGCACAGAAAATAAAAATACAAGTGGCCTTTAGGGGAAAAAAATCATACATATTTTAATAATATCAAGAATTACCTTCAGGCTCAATTTGTATCTGGTCGAGGCTCTTTCCTTCGAATTCCGTCACTCTTCCCTGCTCCATGGCCATCAACACTTTGCTGATTTTGGCCAGCTCCAGTGTCCCCTCTGGTAGTCTGTAATATTGCCTGTGGATGCGAATGTCATGGCCGAGGAAGTTGGCAAGTATGTCCATCTCATTCTCTTTCATATTGAGAACTGTAGACATAGTAGCTATGTGCTTTCTAAGTTTGGTTGAGGATAGCATCTCTGGATGCACCGCACCACATTCTTTGGCTACCTGGCGTAGGGAGTCTGATCCCCTGATGTGGGTGTCTGCGCCCGGGCGGGAAAAGAAGTATGGGTTATGGTCAGAGATGGAACAGGCCCTTCTGTTCTCCACCAGCACCTCCATCGAAGCAATCATTTCAGGAGTCAAAAGAACCGGCACTTTCCGACTTCTTTTCCCTTTAATTTCAATGCGTTGAAAATGCTGACACAGCTTTTTCTCAAGTTGGGACAGTCCCAGAGCAATGTCAGAATGGATCCCAGTCTTACTTCTTAAGGTAAAGGCTGTCAGTGGCATCTTTGAAACCTCACCTTCCCTTCTTCGATTGAAAATGATGACCTCACAAAGAGTCAAAACTGCCAGTTTAGACCAATGCTTAGACGTTGGCTCACTTATTAGGGTTTGCACATATTCAGGTCGACATACCTCAATATGTGCATGCATGGCTCTAACGTCCTCAGTCAGAGGGAGCAGGTCCGGAGTGTTCCACTTGGCTTGCCGGAGGGTCTGTAGGGCAGCAGAAGAAACACAGACGTCCCACCTCTTCTCAAAAAGCAGCCGGCTTCGTTGGAGGTTTTTAATAAATAGTTCATCAACACAATGCTCCATTTTTGAGTCACATTCAAGAATATCTGCTAGCTTTCTGAGGCTATGGCCGAGTTTGAGGGCCAAGGATGGAGTCTTGTATTGATTTGTTTCCTCATCATATCCAGCCACAGACCTGACTGCATCAATCACATGGTTAAAGTTGGAAGGAATAAAGAAATCCTTAATTGTTTTCAGTTTCCCTGCGGTTTTTGCTTCGTTAATTAACCTACCGACTTCTCTCATTTTCTGCCTAATGTAATCATGCTTTGTCTTATCATGCCCGTGTTTTAAGTACAGGTGCTCTCCGAGTCTCAGAATCCCCTTTTCTGCTTTGACAACACCCGTGACCTCATCCTGATGCATTGCCCAAATTAAAGACCACAGCTTTTTGCTGATGCCCTCCGGTACAGGCTGGGCTAGGGAGCAGAGGGACTGGACCCTACTTCTACCTGGTTTAGCCTGGGCATCTTTCTGTGAAAGCCGGCACCTGGCCACATGCCTCCACAGCGACTTTCGCTTAAGCAATGCCCCACAGTCTATACAGTGCAAAAACTCACTGGATTTAACTGGGGAATTTGGCTGTTTAGCTGGGACTAAAGTTCCAATGCCGGCCTTTAAAACCTCAAAATTGTGCTCACGGTTTCCACTATTCCTGATCAAATCAAACTGAAGTTTACGTGCTTTAGATTTCACAGGTAGAGCCAATGCTCTGGCTACGTCACTTTCATTTCCATGTTTTCTAGTCAAATGACGGGACATTTTGTGGCAGGACATTGAACAGTAGAGGCAGAAGTGTCTCTTGCTGTATACTCGCCCCCCATTTTTCTTCTTTTGCAGCTGCATGATAACAATCTTATTTGCCTTTGGTTCGTCACTTTCCGAGTCATGAAGAAAAGTGTTTTTGATTTTTCTTTTTCCATACTTTTTTACAGGTTTCTTCTTGACAGTTAAATCGTCAGAATCTGAGTCGACTTCATCAATTAGGGACTCTTGACTAAGCTGCACAAACAACAAATAATTTGTAATCATTCTATATAACAATTTGAAGTCATGACTTGTAGTCAGCACTTACCAGTGGTTTGTAAGCGTGCGCTTCAGTGTGCTCCTCCATGATTTCTTGCAGCCTAATGAACCACACACTTGCACCTTTTTCTAGCCTGACACCTGATTTCCTCTGTTGTGCTGCTCCATGGATTGGCTCCAGCCTGCTGGACTGAAATTGCCCCAGTGTGCCCCTCCTTGATATCCCGCAACCCACCACCAGGGTTCCGACACATAACACACTTTTTTCAGGAAAGTAAACCTCCAGGGGTCCTTTCCATATTTTTACAGAGACTGCATAAGGACCGTTAGAAAAGCATTACCCATTGATTATTAAGCTTGGACCAGTGGGGTCCGGTGTTCGGGCCCCACCACGTAAAACCAGTCCCCATGACGTGAGTGGAATCTCAGGTTAAGGTCTCTTTCGCTTAAGCAATGCCCCACAGTCTATACAGTGCAAAAACTCACTGGATTTAACTGGGGAATTTGGCTGTTTAGCTGGGACTAAAGTTCCAATGCCGGCCTTTAAAACCTCAAAATTGTGCTCACGGTTTCCACTATTCCTGATCAAATCAAACTGAAGTTTACGTGCTTTAGATTTCACAGGTAGAGCCAATGCTCTGGCTACGTCACTTTCATTTCCATGTTTTCTAGTCAAATGACGGGACATTTTGTGGCAGGACATTGAACAGTAGAGGCAGAAGTGTCTCTTGCTGTATACTCGCCCCCCATTTTTCTTCTTTTGCAGCTGCATGATAACAATCTTATTTGCCTTTGGTTCGTCACTTTCCGAGTCTTGAAGAAAAGTGTTTTTGATTTTTCTTTTTCCATACTTTTTTACAGGTTTCTTCTTGACAGTTAAATCGTCAGAATCTGAGTCGACTTCATCAATTAGGGACTCTTGACTAAGCTGCACTACTACTCTGCACCACATTCTACTCTACCCTACTCTACTCTGGCTCTATTCTACTCTACACTACTCTGCTCTACCCTACTCTACTCTACACTAAACTACTCTACACTAGTCTACTTTACACTACTATACTCTACTTTACACTACTATACTCTACTCTACTCTACATGACTCTATTCTGACAGACAGACACACTGAGTCTTATATTAAGATTTTATTGGATTTTTACAGATGTAATAATGTACAAGATACATGAATATAAATGCTGGCTGTTATAAAGCCGCTGACAGGACAGGAATGAGGAGAGGGCACCACGCTATACTCTACTCTGCACCACACTCTACTCTACTCTGCACCACACTCTACTCTACTCTGCACCACACTCTACTCTACTCTGCACCAAACTCTACTCTGCACCAAACTCTACTCTACTCTGCACCACACTCTACTCTACTCTGCACCAAACTCTACTCTGCACCACACTCTACTCCACTCTGCACCAAACTCTACTCTACTCTGCACCACACTCTACTCTACTCTGCACCACACTCTACTCTGCACCAAACTCTACTCTGCACCACACTCTACTCTACTCTGCACCATACTCTACTCTGCACCACACTCTACTCTACTCTGCACCACACTCTACTCTACTCTGCACCACACTCTACTCTACTCTGCACCACATTATACTCTACTCTGCACCACACTCTACTCTACTCTGCTCTACTCTGCACCACACTCTACTCTACTCTGCACCACACTCTACTCTACTCTGCACCACATTATACTCTACTCTGCACCACACTCTACTCTACTCTGCACCACACTCTACTCTACACCAAACGCTACTCTGCACCACACTCTACTCTACTCTGCACCACACTCTACTCTACACCAAACGCTACTCTGCACCACACTCTACTCTACTCCGCACCACACTCTACTCTACTCTGCACCACACTATACTCTACTCTGCACCACACTATACTCTACATGACTCTATTCTGACAGACAGACACACTGCGTCTTATATTAAGATTTTATTGGATGTTTACAGATGTAATAATGTACAAGATACATGAATATAAATGCTGGCTGTTATAAAGCCGCTGACAGGACAGGAGTGAGGAGAGGGCACCACGCTATACTCTACTCTGCACCACACTCTACTCTGCACCAAACTCTACTCTACTCTGCACCACACTCTACTCTACTCTGCACCAAACTCTACTCTGCACCACACTCTACTCCACTCTGCACCAAACTCTATTCTACTCTGCACCACACTCTACTCTACTCTGCACCACACTATACTCTACTCTACTCTGCACCACAATCTACTCTGCACCAAACTCTACTCTGCACCACACTCTACTCTACTCTGCACCAAACTCTACTCTACTCTGCACCACACTCTACTCTACTCTGCACCACACTCTACTCTACTCTGCACCACACTCTACTCTACTCTGCACCACATTATACTCTACTCTGCACCACACTCTACTCTACTCTGCTCTACTCTGCACCAAACTCTACTCTACTCTGCACTACACTCTACTCTACACCAAACTTTACTCTGCACCACACTCTACTCTACTAGTCTGCACCACACTCTACTCTACACCAAACGCTACTCTGCACCACACTATACTCTACTCTGCACCAAACTCTACTCTACTCCGCACCACACTCTACTCTACTCTGCACCACACTATACTCTACTCTGCACCACACTATACTCTACTCTGCACCAAACTCTAATCTACTCTACTCTACTCTACTCTACTCTGCACCACACTCTACTCTACTCTGCACCACACTGTACTCTACTCTGCACCACACTCTACTCTACTCTGCACCACACTATACTCTACTCTGCACCAAACTACTCTGCGCCACACTGTACTCTACTCTGCACCACACTGTACTCTGCACCACTCTCTACTCTACTCCGCACCACATTCTACTCTACTCTGCACCACACTGTACTCTACTCTGCACCACACTCTACTCTACTCTGCACCACACTATACTCTACTCTGCACCACACTCTATTCTACTCTGCACCACACTCTACTCTACTCTGCACCAAACTCTACTCTACTCTGCACCACACTCTACTCTACTCTGCACCACATTATACTCTACTCTGCACCACACTCTACTCTACTCTGCACCACACTCTGCTCTACTCTGCACCAAACTCTACTCTACTCTGCACCACACTCTACTCTACTCTGCACTACACTCTACTCTACACCAAACTTTACTCTGCACCAGACTCTACTCTACTCTGCACCACACTCTACTCTACTCTGCACCACACTCTACTCTACACCAAACTCTACTCTGCACCACACTCTACTCTACTCTGCACCACACTCTACTCTACTCCGCACCACACTCTACTCTACTCTGCACCACACTATACTCTGCACCAAACTCTACTCTACTCTGCACCACACTATACTCTACTCTGCACCACACTCTACTCTACTCAACATGCTATACTCTACTCTGCACCACACTCTACTCTACTCTGCACCAAACTCTTCTCTACTCTGCACCAAACTCTACTCTACTCTGCACCAAACTCTACTCTACTCTGCACCACACTCTACTCTACTCTGCACCAAACTCTACTCTGCACCACACTCTACTCTACTCTGCACCACACTATACTCTACTTTACTCTGCACCACACTCTACTCTGCACCAAACTCAACTTTGCACCACACTCTACTCTACTCTGCACCAAACTCTACTCTACTCTGCACCACACTCTACTCTACTCTGCACCACACTCTACTCTACTCTGCACCACACTCTACTCTACTCTGCACCACACTCTACTCTACTCTGCACCACACTCTATTCTACTCTGCACCACACTCTACTCTACTCTGCACCAAACTCTACTCTACTCTGCACCACACTCTACTCTACTCTGCACCACATTATACTCTACTCTGCACCACACTCTACTCTACTCTGCACCACACTCTGCTCTACTCTGCACCAAACTCTACTCTACTCTGCACCACACTCTACTCTACTCTGCACTACACTCTACTCTACACCAAACTTTACTCTGCACCAGACTCTACTCTACTCTACTCTGCACCACTCTACTCTACTCTGCACCACACTCTACTCTACACCAAACTCTACTCTGCACCACACTCTACTCTACTCCGCACCACACTCTACTCTACTCTGCACCACACTCTACTCTACTCTGCACCAAACTCTACTCTGCACCACATTCTACTCTACCCTACTCTACTCTGCTCTATTCTACTCTACACTACTCTGCTCTACCCTACTCTACTCTACACTAAACTACTCTACACTAGTCTACTTTACACTACTATACTCTACTTTACACTACTATACTCTACTCTACTCTACATGACTCTATTCTGACAGACAGACACACTGAGTCTTATATTAAGATTTTATTGGATTTTTACAGATGTAATAATGTACAAGATACATGAATATAAATGCTGGCTGTTATAAAGCCGCTGACAGGACAGGACTGAGGAGAGGGCACCACGCTATACTCTACTCTGCACCACACTCTACTCTACTCTGCACCACACTCTACTCTACTCTGCACCACACTCTACTCTACTCTGCACCAAACTCTACTCTGCACCACACTCTACTCTACTCTGCACCACACTCTACTCTACTCTGCACCAAACTCTACTCTGCACCACACTCTACTCCACTCTGCACCAAACTCTACTCTACTCTGCACCACACTCTACTCTACTCTGCACCACACTCTACTCTGCACCAAACTCTACTCTGCACCACACTCTACTCTACTCTGCACCATACTCTACTCTGCACCACACTCTACTCTACTCTGCACCACACTCTACTCTACTCTGCACCACACTCTACTCTACTCTGCACCACATTATACTCTACTCTGCACCACACTCTACTCTACTCTGCTCTACTCTGCACCACACTCTACTCTACTCTGCACCACACTCTACTCTACTCTGCACCACATTATACTCTACTCTGCACCACACTCTACTCTACTCTGCACCACACTCTACTCTACACCAAACGCTACTCTGCACCACACTCTACTCTACTCCGCACCACACTCTACTCTACTCTGCACCACACTATACTCTACTCTGCACCACACTATACTCTACATGACTCTATTCTGACAGACAGACACACTGAGTCTTATATTAAGATTGTATTGGATGTTTACAGATGTAATAATGTACAAGATACATGAATATAAATGCTGGCTGTTATAAAGCCGCTGACAGGACAGGAGTGAGGAGAGGGCACCACGCTATACTCTACTCTGCACCACACTCTACTCTGCACCAAACTCTACTCTACTCTGCACCACACTCTACTCTACTCTGCACCAAACTCTACTCTGCACCACACTCTACTCCACTCTGCACCAAACTCTACTCTACTCTGCACCACACTCTACTCTACTCTGCACCACACTATACTCTACTCTACTCTGCACCACACTCTACTCTGCACCAAACTCTACTCTGCACCACACTCTACTCTACTCTGCACCATCTACTCTACTCTGCACCACACTCTACTCTACTCTGCACCACACTCTACTCTACTCTGCACCACACTCTACTCTACTCTGCACCACATTATACTCTACTCTGCACCACACT